AAAAGAAAAGGAAATTAAAAAAAAAAAAAAAAAAAAGGGGGGAAAAATGTGGTTGTTGGGGGGGGGTGTTTTTTTTTTTTTTTTTTTTTTTTTTTTTTTTTTTTTTTTTCTAAACGGGAAGGTTGGGTTGGGTTGTGTTGCGTTGGATTTGGTCTTTGTCTTTTAGCTAAGCAGCCTGGGGAGTCTTTGCTCTATTTATACAGAAAATAGTAAAAAATAAGTCAATATAAAAAATTTAAAAAAGTATATAAATTAAATTTTAATTATAAAAATTAATAAATTATAATTTATTAAATCATGATTTATAATTAAATAAATTATGAATAAATTTATTAAATTATAATTTATAACTAAATAAATTATAAACAAAAATAATAATTTAATATATTTATTAACTCACGTAAATTATTAATTTATTAAGTTTAATTCATCTTAAATTTTTACCTATTTTCTACTTTCTCCCCTATTTATATAGCGGCGTCTTATCCTATCAAACCCACGTGCATTGCGCCTGCCTTTTACTTCTCAAGCATTATTTACTCTAGAATAATATAAAATACTTGATACAACGGGTCAAAATCATTAGATTTGTTAGCAGGGATTTTTTTAAAGTATTTTTTTGGACTTTTTTTAATTTTCCCTGTACAGTAGTTGGCTCTCTAAAAAAAATATATAAAAAATTCTTTATAAAGACCGGTTTTTAAAAGTTGGTATTCTTTTAAGTAAACTCGTCGCAGCGGAAAATTTAGTTGAAAGCATAGAAGATAAAAAACAACATAAAACTCACATAAGGTAAGAGCTTAGTAGGAAAACACAACTAAAATTAACAAAAACAACAAAACCCACACAGATTTAGAGATTTGTGGGGAAACAAACACTACTGACAAAAATACAGTCTTTATTCCACCTACGACTAAAAAATGAGAATAAAATACCAACACAAACTCTACCACCATATAAATTGGCCGACGTAAAGTGCCTGGGTATTTTAGGGGCCGATTGCCCGTAAACGCACTTCCAATAACCGGTCAAACTGTTCTCCTTCTTCCCACTCTCTCTCTTTCTCAAAAAATTTTCTACTTATTATTTTGAAAAACTATTTATTTTTTAAAAGAAAATACTTATTTAATTAATAGTGCACCAATCCATCCAAATATAATATTTATACATAAATTAGACTTTTGCAAGCTTAGAGGTTTTGTCACTTGTCGTTATAGTTTGTATATATATGTTAAAAATTACAAAATAAAATGGATTAGTATGATTCAAAAATTTTGCAACTCCAAATATTATTTTGATATGATTTTGTCATCTTGATTTTTAATTAGTTTACCTTTATCTTTGAAAAATCTTAGGTTCATAAATGTTCATTATTTTTTTTGGACAATTCATCAGTGTTACTTTTTTTTTTTTTTTTTGAAAAATTCATAAATGTTCATTATTGATGTAGAGAATATATCTTTTCTTTTATGCAATAGAGTATTTTTCTTATACGCATATGTAACTGTGTGGTACATTTGCTATATCTCAAAATGTGATTACATGAGTTTTTGTTTTTATTTTTATTATTTATTTATTTATTTTGCGAGGATGTGATTACATGAGTTGTACAATAATGTGGCTAGTTGCTACATAGTGATGTTAATAAAAAGGACTTGTTATTATTTGTGTACTTGTGTTGGTAGGTATTTTTCTTGTGTTTCGAAGAACATGCATGACCGACCATATGAAATAATGGAGGATAACTATACACCCTCAAAGTTGATGGCTTTGATAATATATCTATCACATCACATGTTCTCATCTTCTTTGAAATCTTCCGGCCGGCAAAGTTATTTTTCTCGTTTCTGGTCGTATGTATTCTGCAATATTCGGAAAATCCATAAATTTTGAAAATAACAAAGACCCGCGCTACCTTTCCAGTTCTGTTTTAGCCACTTCATTTGACCCTGTGTATAGAAGCTGGAAGGTGCAACCCCATCATCGGTTTATATATATATATTATAAACACTACATGACATGACAATCTTAAATATATTAGGAAAAAAATGTTATTTAGATGTAAATAATATACATATAATAATAACATTCTCCTCACAGAACCATATAATATTGCTCTCTCTACGGCACGTGATAGGATGAGATGGGTTTGAGTTTGTAACAATGTTGATTTGATCTCTCGTTGTATTAGATTAAGAAAAAGATAAGCACCCATATTGGAAGGTTTAAATTATTTTTTTATTTTGTATTTACTTAATCCGCCTCAATGCCACAAGCAGGCAGAAATTTTGAGTTGGTCCACCACAATCTATTACTAGATCGTAATGCTAGCTAGCATTATTTTAAAATCTGACAGTACACTATTAAGACCAATTTGTCAACGTGGCTTCTCTCTCAACAATAAAATTTACTGATGAAAAATGAAAATAAATAAATTTTAGCGTCGAAATCAATAATATATCCCAGACCCACTTCAGTACGTGCTTCTCACTCAAGCTTGTGTGCCATGTGGACCAACAGCATTAAATGCAACTTATTCTGCTTCGCTATTGTTGCAGTAAAGATGTATGACTACACTATCAATTGTGTGCCTTTGCTGTTATGTTAAAAAGCATGTTGAGATAATGGAGTTAGGTTCACTCGATGGGGTAACACATAACGTGGAAGGTAAGTACTATAAGGTTAGATCTATATATATAGACATATGTTTTGTCCAAAATATAAACATATATATATATATATAGACATATGTTTTGTCCAAAGTATAAACATATATATATATATATATAGACATATGGTTCTTCAGTTAGATCATGATGAGATTATCAACCTACGATGAATATGACTGATAGGGTACAATCATATTTTCCTAAATTTTTTTACTCAAAATAACACATAACTGTTAGTAACTTGTTTTCCCAGCCAAAATTCATACAAGTATACCAAGTACGTCTTAAAGATGTCAATCTAGCTTATAGTTCTCGGATAAGGTTCCCTGTTAGTAATTCGTGTTTATGAATGTATATCCATCCAAATGAAAATATATATATGTGCAAAACTAAATCTAACCATTGAAAATAAAACTACAGGAATGTTTTAAAACATAACTCTACTATAGTCATTTTTCTACCCTATCATAATTGTTATGTGTATATATACTACACAAATACAGATGGTCTCTATACGGTACAGGGTTTGTTACAATACGTATATCTTCATTGCCGCAAGAAATTAAAGAAGGTTATAAAGTCCAAGTCATGTGTACGTATATAACAATATTAGTATAATATATAGGCGAGAATTGACACTAAAAATTCTAAGAATTGACTGTCCACCATAACCCAAATGGGAGACTTTTGTTGTTGCACATTTGGGTGGTAATGGAGATTATTTATAGATAACTAGCCGGACCCATGACAACATACATATATCAAATATGTGCCTTCTGTCAAAGGCATAGGGGATATAATATATAGTTCTGGTCTTGGACCACATTAATTTGCTTGCTCCTGAATTTTTCTAGGTGTCGTTTCTCAATGGAGTCGGACTCATGAGCTAATAGTGGGGTTTCTAGAAATAGACTTCTTAACCCCTATGCTTCAATTGGAAAATGGCTCAAGACCTGTTCATCCAGCGACATTGAATCAGCCATTGTTGGAAATTTTGGAGTTAAGTGGGAGGATTTTAACTAGTGATCATCTTTAAGGAGCTGAGTTTTTAAAACAAGCCATTCGGTTACTCAAGTGATCCTCTTTTTCAGTTGTAGGTGTGTCTTGACTCTTGAGCTTTACTGCTTTTCTGTGGAAACAAGAGCCCATCTCTCTCCCCTAACCTTCCTAATTAAATTTTAGATCGCATCTCTAACATATATATTTGCTTTTGAGAGTTATATATATGGGTGTGGCTTTACTGGTTACTCTAATATTTACTTATTAATTAGTTTATTTTAATTTTTAAGACATTGATTTGACGGTTGTAATAAATTGAGTAGTTAACTAAAAAAATTTATTAAAATTAATGAAATTAGATTTTTATTATCTCAAATCATGTTCGTTTGGTTCGTGTATTCAGAATCATGATTCAGAACCATTCTCGTTTTACGCGTATTTTTTATGAGAAAAAAACACTGTAGAGAATCATGAATCATGATTCAGAATCAGAGATAAATACAAGAAACAATATATTTGATTTAGTAATTACTATAGAAATATAACCATTAAAAATCCGTTCACATATATAGTGTTGGAATCAATGGTCACACCAAGCATAAAAATTTTGTGAACCATAAACTTCAGATAATGAAGTAGACTCAATTAAAATAATTGTATTGTTATTTTAGTTAAAGTTTTGGTTATATGTCGCCTTGAAAAAAAATTTCTCACTCCGTCACTAGATGCATGTATGCATATGTAAGTTGTTTTAGCCGGTTGGAAATTTTCTTTTGAGGTGACCACAATGTGATGGTGGATGAATTACGGGATGTAATTTGCCTAAGAATCAATCGATTTATAATGAGCAGTATTTGTGTCGGATGAATATTGATAGTGCAATTTTATGGTGTATATGCATGTGCTTGGTGGGTCATACTAATTCATTCAAGTATTACTTTTTACAAGCTTCCCTGGCAACTTTACCATTTTACCGTACTATATATATTAAGGTCTCATTCATTTTACTAATTTGAGTTTTTAATTTTAATTTTATCACAGTTAAAAACTCTTATAAAAAATAATGTCTAATTTTTTTTACTACAATAAAAAGTTCTTACATAAAATCACATCTCAATTTAAATTGAAAACTCAAATCCACGAACTAAATGAACCATAAGTATGTTTAAATAATTGATCTGTTGCCCAGTAACATCATATACAGTACCATAATACTATTTGACAACTCATTCAATTGTTTAAACAGTTTTGTTAATTGTATTTATCATGGGTTAAATTCTTAAGTTTAGATGAGTTGTCAAAATAATATT